GGAGAATGACAGAGAGTTGGAAAACAGAAGATTTAATTGGACAAAATTTATTGGAAAACATAATTTTTCTCTAAGTCATTTTCATCATTTGTGTTTTTTTGCCATGTCATTGAACATCCTCAACTGCATGCCATAATATACAGCATTAAGAAATATTTTTCTATTATTTTGTGAGTAATAGAAGTAAATAACAATGGTCTAGATAATGCCAACATTACTATAGTAGATTTTAATGAGAACTATATTATATAAGTTTGCAATGTCACAGTAATTGTCAGCAATAATGACAAAAGTTTACGTTAATTTTGTTGCTGTTATATTATTTTTGATGTACCATTAATATTTGGTGTGGACAGACTAAAAGTTCAAAAAAAGTGCAAAAAAAAGGGTAAAACAACTTCATCCAGAACTTAGTCAATCAGACTAATTTATGACTGTCCACACCGTTTTTTTTTTAAAAAAAAGTTCAGAATTAGTTCAAAATACATATTAGATAAAATTGTGCATAATCCTGTCTCTGTCATTAAGTGAGAACCTTTTATTGCGAGTTTTTCTAGACCTCTCATCATATGGGATATCTTCTCCATAAAAAAATTCTTCTCTTCTCAATCTTAGTGGCAATGGAAGAAAACTAGCTAATTAGAGTCGATTAAAAATTTTGCCCTTTTTTTGCCCTTTTTTGCCCTTTTTTTGAACCTCTAAAAAAAAGGGCAAAAAAGGGGTAAAATTAATTAAAACTCTCGCCCAATGGTATGACTTAAAGTTTTGCTCTTTTTTTGCCCTTTTTTGAACTTTTAGTCTGCCCACACCAATTATTATATTTTTCTATAATCATTTAGACTTTCTTTGATAGTAATACTGCTAAGAATATAACAAAAAAGTACTCATATACACTGATTCTTGACATAGTGCCACCACTCATAAGATCCCGAGACTGCTAAAAAACAAAGGGACATAATAGACTTTAGGCTAATTTTCCAATTGTTTACTTGTCTCTTTTTTTCATTATTTTCATGTCATCGTTTAAAGGTAAACCGCAAGTGTAATCTAGCCAGAGAATACTACATCATGGAAGTTTATTAAAGTGAGTACTATTTCTATTACGCATCTCTTTGAATTCTTACTAAATCATAATCTTGCTAGGCTTCAAAGGCGATGCAAAGATGAGATTACGGAACCAAATCTTATCAGCAGAGCAATGATATTTATCCAGATACATAATCAGCTTTTTTGCCATAGAAACATTAGGTATGGACTAAATATATATATTAAAACAGTACACCGTCTATGCTCCATATTCTAATTGTTTCTTTACTTCTCTTAGGTAAGTTTTTAATGATAGCTAGTAGATATACACGCAGTATAAAAAGGTATTTTCTGCTTAAATAAACATTCTGTAAATTGTTATATTAATATGCTTTCTTATTTATTAGCTTTCTCATACCTGTAAAAGCTGCTTTCATTAAGAAACGGCTTGTAGCTTATAAAATACTTAATAGAATTACTTCTTTTTTTGAAACAAAATAAAATATATCTTTTTTGAGCCCAAAAAATAATTTCCAATGTTTGCACCCCCCCCCCCCCAATTCTACTATTTGAGGAAGACCCCCCTCGAAACTTGTCTGAGTTTCCTAAAAAGGAAACCCTTATCGACACTTTTTTCTTTTTCATCATTGAGATTAAAAAAACTTCAGTGGGTGTGTTGTTTTTCTAAAAAAGAAATTAAAATTTTAAAAGTGCGCCTTATTTTTTCAAATTGTGCGCCTTGCAAAAGTGTTTTACAATATTTGCCAGTCATTTCCCGTATTAAATCCATTACTGTGGCAATAATCCTCTGCGCATCAAATACACGCATAATCATAAACGAGCTACTTAGATTTCCATAATTTAGACTGTAGTATTATATCAATCATACATTCAGTCCAAGATTATGATCAGTCGTGTCTAAACTATCTAATTTGTATATCTAAATTAACTCCAGAATCCCTCAATTTTTTATTTTGTTATTTTCTTTTCCTTTCTCTTCTTTTGATAAATATATATATATATTACAAAGTAAAACAATATCAAATCGGATCTCTCATAAAAATAGAATCTCTAACTTGCAGATACATTTTGTTTTCGGGGAATTTACAGTGACGTGAGAAAATATATGTTTTTCTACGTCATCAAAGCAATATATAAAGTTGTTGCATCGAACAACCAAAGAATATAGCAGTAATGGGGTTGAACAGAGACAAACCCTTATGCCAGTCCTCTACAGGATCCCAGTCTATACCCAAGACTGCCAAGAAATCCACTAAGAACACTGGTTTGGTCTATGATAACGCCGCTGTGGGACACCAACTAAGCGCCGACCGCAATGGCATGCTGGCTCCAGGTATGTCATTCCATTGGAATCTTGATCACAATAAAAAAAAAATAGAATCAGAAATTGACCGAGCAGCAATCTCGACTTGATCCCAAAAGATGTCTCGAGAGTATTGATTATATATACTGGTGGTACTATTGGAATGAAGCATACACCCGAGCACGGCTATATCCCAGTAAGTCCGAAAATTAACTCTAACACTTAAATCATTTTTAATTATATATATATAAGCCTGCAAAATAGAAATATATATCAAAGAAAAATCTTACAATTATTATATGATGATTGTTTATTACAATCTCAATTTACTAAGCCATTAATTGATAATATGGAATAGGTTCCTGACTACTTCACAAAAAGTTTGGCTAGCTATGGGCGCTTCCATGATCAAAAGAAAGATCAAGGATCTGGAAGTTTATCTCGCAGTTCATCATCAGACAGTCTTGACAGCCTTCATCTGGAGACAAATGAACTTTCACCGAGCTTAAACGTAACAAACCCGGTGCGTATAGTTTCTTCTAGTGGATCTTCAGTTGGCAAAGAAACTATAGTCCAACTTCCGAGTTTGATCACACCTGTCAGCCTTTACGGAAAGCGCATCAGGTACGTACCTTACATAATAAAATGACAGCCAGTTGTAGGCTTATCAGTAGTTTATTCTCACGCTCCCATGCTCTCATCCTCACACACACTCGTGACTTTACTTATTTTGGGAATTAAGGTATTCAATCCTTGAGTATGATCCCTTGCTTGATTCGTGCAACATGACAATGTCAGGTAAGGCTATTACACTTTTAGTTTTTTTTTATATATATATGCATATATAATTTTCTGAAGTATTAATTTTTCTTTTTCAGATTGGGTACGAATCGTTAGAGACATCGAAGGCAATTATCAGTTTTATGATGCTTTTATTGTTCTCCATGGTACGGATACAATGGCGTATACTGCAAGTGCCTTGAGTTTCATGTTGGAAGATCTTGGGTAAATATACGCACAATCATTAGAAAGCATAGAATCTATAAAATCTCATTATTGGTATAGTAAGACAGTCATCATTACTGGTTCACAGGTACCCTTGAGTGAGGTGCGAAATGATGCCGTCGAAAATCTTTTGGGCGCACTCACAATTGCTGGTCATTTTGTAATTCCTGAAGTCGGATTGTACTTTGGACAAAAGTTGTACAGAGGAAATAGAACAAGCAAACAAAGTGCTGTTGACTTTGACGCATTTGATTCTCCGAATATGGCTCCTCTTATTGATGTTGGCATTAATATTGGTAATGAACTTGTTTTTTTAAGAAAATACTCTTACCAGAAATATAAGAGAAATAAATATACTAATTGTGTAGTATTTTGGATATAAATAGATGTTAAATGGCCACTTGTACTTCGCCCTATGCAGATTGCCAAGTTCCAGGCTCACAAAGTACTGAATCCAAACGTTGCTTCTCTTCGCCTCTTCCCGGGTATCAACGCAACTACTATTCGAACATTCTTAGCCCCACCTATCCAGGGTGCCGTCTTGGAGACTTATGGTGCAGGAAATGCCCCAGCAAGAGACGATCTCTTGTCTGCTTTAAAAGAAGCTTCGGATAGAGGAGTTGTCATAGTAAACTGTACTCAATGTCGTAAAGGGCTTGTGACGGATTCATATGCAACAGGAAAACAACTCTCGCTAGTTGGTGTGGTAGCCGGAGCAGATATGACACCAGAATGTGCATTAACAAAACTCTCATACTTGCTTGGAAAGCACACTGGAAACCCACACCTAGTCAGACAGTTAATGACAAGAAACTTGCGTGGAGAGCTGACAGTACGCTCCCTTCAGCAGCGATTTAGTGCAATGAACAATCGTGCCAATCTCCTTACAGATATCCTTCTGAACGAATCTATACGCAGAAATCTAGGAGGAAAGAAAAAGCCAGAAGATCTATCCGAGATTCCTATGAACGATCCAAACATGTCAGTTGAAGAGCAGCTTTTAGCTGAAAAGGCACTAGGACCCATTATGATGTGTTCTTCTGCAGAAGCAAACGATCTTGATAGTATGAAACTAATCCTTGAAAACATGAGTGGCGAGTTCAACTGGAACTGTGTGGATTACGATGGGCGTAGTCCGCTTCATCTTGCTTCTCGCCAGGGAAATTTAGCTGTAGTTGAATATCTCTTGCTTCATGGGGCCTCAATTCATGTGCGAGACAGAGCTGGACATACTCCATTATACTATGCCCTAATCGGAAAACGCGTGGAGGTTGTTTCGATGTTGAGAAAGGCAGGTGCTCACTTTGCAGAGTGTGAAGTAAATGATTTTGGGCCACTTTGGTTGAGATATGTCAGCACCGATGATATTAAGATGGTCAGACTTGCCTTGGATGCCGGTTGGGGAATCAATTGGTTCGAACCTGTGGAAGGTCGAAATGCCGTTGATGTGGCTGTCTGTGAAGGACATTTGGCCATGTTAAAACTACTTTTAGGATATTCAGATATCAGCCTTAATCACAAAGACAGATGGGGATTCGATGTTTTGGACAAGCTTAAAATGCTTAGACTTTCTAACAAGAAAGACGCTTCAGGAATCTACAGAAAGGTTCCTGACACGGTTCTGGACTCCATGGAAGCCCTTTTGACGCCGAGAATTCAGCAAGCACTTTAGAATACATAAATATAATCTTATGCTGTGCGTAAATAATGTACTATAGACCTTTATGTCATACGCATATATAGCAAATTTTTGTAAGAAAACGGAATAAAAACAGTTCTTTTAATGGTAAATAACCAAGGAATCCGATTGCTTAAAGCAAAAAATAAATACATAAATAATGGCTTTTAGTATAATAGATAAGCTACCAGCATATCCTTAAAAAGGACCTAAATTATTAAAAAGTATTTCTGTACAATTTGAACATAATATTTGTATGATCTTTTGGAAGTGTTTTTAGAGATAAAGTTGTGTTTTGAGTTCATCAATGGTGGTGTCAAGTTTGGTGGATATGGAATCACATGGCTATATATATATTCCAATTAACAAGCTCTTTTAGAGAAATATAGTATTCTTATGTAAAGACGGCAATACCAACTATATCAATAATTTCTTTGGCCGATTACTAATGTGTGTATATATATTGCTAGTAACTATTAGTGGTACGTTGAGCATATGATACGATTTATTGTACGTTGTTTATATTAGAAACTGGACCTTTTCTATGATATGCTTATATTAATTATTATTTAATGTTTGTTTTTTTTTCTTAATCCCTCATAAATAAAGCTTGGAAATATTTTTTTATTTCACTATATGATATCACGGTTACATTAATATTTATTTCAAGGAATTGGATTTCTCTAGTGAGATACGTTACTCTATTCTACTCTTAATACGCATAACTCAAAAATTAAAAGACTTTGTGTACCATTACCTGACATACGAAACCTCGACTTGTACATTTATTTGTCGAAGAAAGAAAAATGGTACTGTTGCTTTTATTACTTATATACCTATTCAGTCAATATACGCTTTTCCTAATTTTCAGGTTGCAGCTATAGAACATTATATATCTAGAATATGTTTTTAAATGGGAGGGCCGGGTAAGAGCGGAACTTACACATTTTTTCTCGTCTTTTAGCAATATATCTCAAAGGAGATGCAGTCGAACTTTAGTACGACAACAACAAAAGCCATTTCAAGAAATACAAATAAAAAGAGGTTTTGTACTAAACGTGTTCAATAGTCTTTCTCTCTTTTTTTATATATTTATATCAGAGTCACCCTTTAGGAATGGCAAACGGCCTTGACGATTATGATCTTGTCTTTGGAGTAGGTAAAGTTTCCATAGCTATTATATCTAAGAAAGCACATTAACAAGCGCGAGTATGAAATTGGTTTATTAGATTTTGGAACAATCAACTCTGGCTATTACTTGCTTAGCTTGAAGAATGATACATCCAGAGATAAATTCGATCAAAGGTTAGGGCGTTTTTTTTTTTAAAAAAATGATAATAATAATAATTAAGGGTGTCTATAAAAAGTCTTTAAAAGACGAAATAAATGAGGAATTAAACATCTCGATCAGCCAGTTTGAACATGGAAAATCAATAATAGCGTAATAAAGATCTTATATACCATGTACCTACCATGATAACTTGTTTTTCTTTCGTTATGTACAATTCGTTTAGTCATTTGTGGAAATACAAAGAGGAACCATCTACAATGTTTTATAAGAAAAATTCAAAAAAGCTTTTTAAATATGGAGAATTGGCTGATTGCGAATTCAAGAATAATCTCAATTCAGGATATTATGCGAATAGAGTGAAGATGTGGCTGGACAGAACCATTAAGAATCCAGCTTTACCGCCTCATCTAAAGCCAGTAGAAGGTAAAAGACAAAGATAATAATAGGTAGGTATATAATCAGGAGATGGTTTTTAATATGCGATTTTAGTCATCGCTGACTACTTGAAAAAAATGAGCGTTCCCATGGACAGACAGTTACGGTTATACAACAACATTGGTGATGGTTTTAAGTGGAGATATTGTATGACAGTCCCTAATATGTGGCCCGAACAATCCAAGAGTATCATGAGAGAGGCTGCAATATTAGCTGGTTTTGTTACAGAGGGGAATGATATAGACAAGCTTTTAATTATCGATGAGGCTTTAGCTGCTGCATTACATTCTGACAGAGTTTCTTCTGAACTAAAGCTTGCACATGGCAGCCGGTTTCTGATCTGCGATGCTGGTGGTAGAAATATAAACATTTCCACATTTGAGAAGGACAATTTGTCAGGAATAAGTGGTCTGAAAGAGATTACTATTGGAGATGGCGGTTCCTGTGGATCCATCCTTCTGGAAAATCTGTTTGAAGCTCTACTTAGAAAGCGAATGTATATACACTCGGGCTATAGTGAAAGAAACAAGGAAAACACTTTATGGTACTTTAATTACAAGTTAAAGGTAGCATACCCGAAATGTTTGACATATATATTAGGTTATTGAATGCTTTAAGAAATTAATGGCATATTATATGTTAATTTATGTAGTATATATTTGGTGGCGACATGAAGAAAACATCTTATTATATGAAAATGATTAATCAAGAATACATACGTGGGCATCCAAATATAGGCGAAGAGGAAGGAATATCATTGGATGCAATTCAGACAAGCGTGTTTGATCCAGTAGTAAATGAAGTACTCGGTATGATTGAGAAACAGCTCATACAGCTGAGAGGCAAGACTTTGAACGCTATATTCATAACTGGAGGATTTGGACAGTCACCATATCTACAAAAACGAATGAAGGAAACTTTTAAGGGTCGAGTGAAGCATTTCAAGGTTATTGAAGATGGTCATGAAGCTGTAATGAAAGGAGCAGCTTTATTTGGCTTCAATCCGTGTAAAATCACACAAAACATCATACGTTGTACATATGGTATAAGGATAAGCTTACCCAGTAGCACATCTGATGACAGTAGTGATCTCAAATCCGAAAAAGAAAAGATCTATGTTTATATCCGTAAAGGGGAATCAGTTAACAACGATATGTGGATCAGTAGAAGCCATGTTTGGAAAAACAATAGCCTGCCAGTTATATGTAAGAACTGTTTTCTATATTTTTCTACCATCTAATAAGGAGTATTGCTAGCTTTATGTACGTCTAATGACGATTTACTGACTCTAGAGTACAATTATGTTTATGGGGTTGATATAGTGGCTATCTTCAACCAAAAATATCCAGATGATCAAACAAAAGAAATTATCGATGAAGTGCTGACCATCGGAATACGATTTGGCTCAAATAGAGTTGAAATCAAAGTTAATTCTGGCGGGAGACAGTTCGAGTATGTTAATACTTGAGATGTTACCAAAAGAAAAACAGTGCCTGGTTATATATCAATTTCAAGACATCAAATTCTGTTGAAGCACAAAAAAAATGAAAGATAAATTATATGATTTTTAGTAAGAATATGTTAAGTATTTCTGTGTAAATAAATATAATCTCTATACTTTTGAAAACATTGTAATCCGATAAGATACTGTAGTTTCAAGCTTGAATAATTGTAATACTTTTTAATAAATTTATTTATAAGTAATTAGTAAATATAGGATTGACAATCCAAGTATTAAAGTAGAAACTCATTTTTCTTAATAAAACATGACAACGCACTACAAGGAGGAGGAGTAGGAGGAGGAGATATAGAGGAGGATCCAAAGGGAAATTACAAAAGAAATCCTGGAGTAGATTCTCTTTTTCCTTCGCACTCTTTTTGTCTTTTTAAGAATTATACACTCCGCAATGATGCGGATGTTAAGTTTTATTGATATACCGACTTTATTCAAATCCGAAAGAGCGGAGACACATCACTTTCCATAAAAGTAAAGAGTAAAAAAAATAAGGTATTTTCGAAAAGCGTCTCCTAGAATCGCCTTTGAATTCGCCCTTTTGTTTTTTTCACCGTATTGCTATATCAATAAGAATATGTGCGTCTCAATTCCAGTGGGAATTTGGCTTTACACACATTATAAAAGCATTGGTGTTTGAATAATATCATACATAGATATATATATATATGTGTGTGTATGAAGATTTAAGATACGCCAAGATACCATACATGGCGCTTTGTGATTGTATTTGACTTGGTAATCATAAAAAAATAAATAAGGATGAAATGGCTTACTCAGAGACAGTTGCCAAAAGAACATCTTGTGTGCCTCTTCTTGATGAGTAATCATACATTAGTGGGCTTTGTTATGAGTTGTCCATGTACATCCACATTCTGCCCTTTATCCCAAAAAAAAATGAGCATACATTTCTGTGCTGTAGGTAAATGATATTGCTGTTGCTGTTATGCTTGTTAGAGGGCAAAAGAAATGTGTGCTTTTTCATATTAAGACTTGGTATGCGAGACTTCCCATTCAACTGCCCTCTTCCTTTCAAATAATAATAATAATAATAACTTCAACGTCGCGAATTTCGATTCCTACTCTTGCTATCATCCCTGCTTTGGCTTCTTCTTCTCTTTTCTTCACGTCTGCTTCGATCATAGCTTGAAGAACGTGATCTTTGTCTTTTTCGTAATCGACCGCGATCTTCATCACGCTTTCTATTCAATCTTGGAGGACTAATTGAACGTTTTCGACTGGTTTCCTTGGAATTATGACTGTGACTATGATCAAAAGCATCAGATTCTCGTCGACGATCATCATTTCGTCTTCTTTCTGTATAATCTGTACGCCTTGATTCCGGAGAATTTGCTCGACTGGACCGTCGTCTATTGTCTCCTGTTCGAGACCTTTCTTGAGTTTCATCTCTCCTTCTGTCTCTGGTTCGATTCTCGGACCAGCTGGCCTTGTCTTTCTCCTTTCCTCTCGCATTATCTTTGACAGGTGAAATTGATCGACGACTCGATCCATGATTTTGTTTATTAGCCGAGACTTCTTTATCTCTAGAACTATCCCTCTGGCGTATGGGTTCATCATCTCTCTGAGATCTGCTTTTTTTGGGCTCCTTTGCTTCTCCGTCATCCTTCTTTTCAACAATAGTCGGTTCTTCCTTTACAATGACTTCCTTTACCGGTGTTGATGGCCGTTCGTCTTCTTTGGGATAGGTAACTTTAGACTTTTCAGCTTTTACAGTCAATTGAGGGCTGACGTCCTTTTTATCACTTCTCTCAGTGTCTCTCTTCTCTTTATCATCTCTTCGGCGACTATTGTCTTTCTGTCGATATTCAGATGATTCAGTTTCTGTGGAACGTCGATTTTCACGACTTCTATGCCGCGATGAAGAAGGTTCTTTTTCTGCCGAACGACGATTAATTGGACTTTTGTGGCGACGTTCAGAGCGTGAACGGTCTCTTTCATCACGTCTTCTATCATCACTGCCGCGACGTTCAGAGCGGGATATATCTTTCTCTTTGTTTCTGCTTCTTCTTTCATCTCTTTTTCGATTATCTGAGTGTCTACTGTTCCTGCGAGAGCTAGAATAAACAGGAGATCGTGACAGCGAGCGAGGACGAGAATGTGATCTAGATAGTGATTTAGACCTTGATCTAGACCTGGATCTTGATCTAGATCTTGATCGAGACAATGATCTGTAGCGTGAGCTTCGTGTAGATCTGTTACGACGGGTCTCCTTTTTCTTCTTTTTGCGACGCGATCTCATTCCTGATTTTGAATCGTCCCCATCGTCAGTTTTTTCACTTGATTTGCTTTCTGCATTCTCGGTCAAGTCTGTTGCAAGACCAACGAGGTCCCACTGCTCTGCTGGTTTTTCAACCTCCTTTGGCGCTTCTTTCTCTTTTAACTTATTTAACATTTCTAATGCATTTTCATGTGTAGGTTCCAGTCTTAATGCTCGCTCCAAATGTTCTATGGCTTCACTTGGCTTCTTTTGCTCGACAAGTCTGTCAATTAGGTTAAACACATAAGCTTAATTATTAATAAAGTATTAAACATTTTCAATTTACCCTTCTGCAACACGGTACCAGCCTTCTGCATATTTTGAATCCATGTCCAATGCTCTTTTATAATACTCCATTGCCTCCTTTATTCGCTTCTGTTCCAGATGTTTAATACCTTCAGCAACACTGACATTAAAATGCGAGATGTTTAATCAAAAAAATAGTTAATTGTTTAGTACGTCTTGTCGATTATAGCTTTTCCCAGAGTAAAACAAAAATAAATAAAAAATAAAAATACATACGCGTCTTTGGCATAATTTCTGTTCTGCACATCACGTAACTCCATATAACTTTCAAGAGGTTGATTTAATTTTTGCCCTAACAGACCACGGTCTTCAAGTGAAGCGCGGTACAAGGCAGAGTCCAATAGACTTGGCTGGCGTGGTGCCTTAGGGTGAACATTAAATAAACTAGCTAATCTTAGCCATTGATGAGGATTCATTAGCATCGCATCGTCATGAATATTAGCATCCCACGCTTTCTGTTCGAATAATGTTAATGAGCTTGGTTTGGCAAAGGTGTATCGTTCCTTTGGTTTTGCTTCTGAAGAAATGCTGCCGTTTGCTGACTCAAATTTCGTTTCGTCTTTTGCTTTTGTTTCGGTTATCGAATCTTTCTCTTTTTGTTTTTTCTTTTCATCGTGCCGTGTCTTTCTATCTTTCTTACGACGTTCGAGGTCTTTGGCTGCATCAGCTCTTAACTTAGTCATCAGATTGGTAAACGAGCTTTTTTGCGCGAACTGTTCCAAATGACTTTCAAAAGCAGCATTGCTTTCTTCTGCTGCTATAAACATATTATTGGATGATATCTTATTTGCATTTTCGGGAGAGTCATCGTCTTGACTGTTTGATCTTGTGTGCCTGTAAAAGTAGCGTTTCGACATGGGTGCTGTTCCTGGGGTTGTGGGTTCATCAATAGGAGGATCGCTATTCTTGCTTTTGATCGTCCACCCGGACGATTGTCTGCTGAGGCTGGCTTCCATAGAAATTTAGTTTTATTCGAACCAGTAGCAGCCAACAAGGCGAAGTTCTCTTTGGCTCTTTCATCCATTCAGTCTGAATCACACGAGCGGTCACAAATGACGACAGCGGCCCACAGACAGGGTGGACTTTTTACATTTTTATCTTTTCTTGGCTTCGTTTAAAGATTTAAAGGGTAGATTAAATAATATATAGAGTTGTGTGCATCTTTTTTTCTTCTTCTTACAAGTACCCAAGGAAGTATTTTATGTAAAAAAGTATATACATATATATTCTTACATATACAAAAATAATACATTTTGCCTTTACATAACATAAGCACAAATAATTCCACAGTATCAACTATTTTTCTCATTTTTTTTGTCTGTATGTGTGCACTCTTTATTTACTCATTGATAATAGAACTTTACCAGCTGGCTTATAAGAGCTATAAAGAAGTTACCCGCCCATTCCACACGCTTATTCACCCAATGTTTCTTAAAGTAAAAACGTAGAACATCAAAAAAAAACGTGTATGTGTATATATCCAACATATAAAAAAGGCCGCATTGTTTATTGTGTGCAACACCAGTTCCTCTCGGATTGTTTCTAATGGTGGGATCCAGAGGGGGTAGGGAAATCCTATAAAACATATAACAAACATAAGAATTAATATATAAGATATTTACAAGAAACATTCAAATATACACCCATAAATTTATATATATATGTGTGTGTATATTACATACCATAAGAGGAGGCAAGTTACGCTCCCACTTGGTACCCTCAGGGCCCATAGGCACTACAAAGCAAAAGGCACGTTAAGTACATATATGGCAATCCTATCAACCAGTATCAACTTACGCTTGTATGGATCGGGATGTGCCCAGTCTTTGAGTTCCTGCTCAGTCTTGGCAATGATTGCCTGGAGTTCCTTTGGGCTGGTAATATGCTTGTTGCGTTCGAACTGAGCGCGAATGTCGAGTGCCTTTTGGCGCCACAAGTCGCGCTGAATGTACCAATCGAGGGAAAGCTTCAAGGAGCGCTTGTACAAAGATTGGACATGCAATCTGTGGGCATTCTTGAATGCTGTTGAGGCAGCAGAAGTTGACATGATGGATAGGTTTACAAACAAAGCAGAAAAGGCTACATTTGTTTGGGTATCACTATTCGCACCTCGATTGGAATCCAGCCTTGTTTTTGTTGCGTCATAGAATGTGACCGCTCTTGTCTTCAAGAGCTTTTTGTTGGCTTGCATTCTCCTCCCACTCCCCTTCTTTACACTTCTTGAACAAATTAAAAGAAGTGCATATACAAATTCGTGTGTGTGTACATATAACTGAATAAATATTTTTTTGTTTAGGATTCTTTTAACATTAAATTTGCTTATCTTCACCTAAATTACAAAATTTTATAATATATGCCTTGTCTCATGTAATAATCCAACAGACTTTGAATATATATTTGAGTGACAAAATATCTGTTTTCTACATTTGATCACCCAGTACTTTTTTGGTGTATATACATAAAAAAAAATTAACCTAATATGCTGTATACGATTTATACAAGTTTGAGAAAAATTAAAGAAAGAAAAACTGATATTTTAATACAATAAAATCATAAAAGCTGCATAAAATTTAAATATCTGCTTATGTTTTTGATGCATCATTCTCATTTTATTGTATTTGTATTTTCTTTTCTTTTCTTCTTACAAACAGCCTTCAATGAAGATACACAGGACGTTCACTTTCTAAAAAGCTTTTTATAATTGGAATACACAAAGCTGGATTGTTTATCATTAAGATATAATATAGAAATATTAAGAAAGAAATTCAGTAATATCATTATATAACCCTTTTTTGAGACGCTGATGGAGTTTTATATAGTGAAAATATCTTTCATTCGGTAACTTGGAAAGTTTATTCAGAGTAAAAATAGGCTTCTTCGTTTGTAGTTCTTAAAATACTATTCAATTCAACCTATTGTTAATATTTCTATAAGTATATTTGCTATAAATGCGCATGGAGTGAGTATCATGAATTGTTTCCAAGCTTAACATATAAAAGCTGATGGAGTTAAATGTGTTTTTATTTTATTTAATTTCGAAAAGCATGCAATAAATGGAGAGAGAGAGAGAAAGGTGACCCTTGGAAAGTTTCATAATACAAAATACTTGCTATTTTCGGCTGTATGGATCTCTTTCTTTTCTTATTCAAAATAAAATTTGGTGTCTTTCAAGGCGTACTTGGCTAAATTTCGTGGTCCACTCCCCTGTATACACTTGACACGGAAGTCCAGATAGGTCTTTGCATCATCCTTTTTTGGGCACAGCTTCAGCATTCTTGCGTACAGCTGCTCTGCCATTTCAACACTTTCGAGTGCACTAATAAAAATAGATTATAATAAATATTTTACTGACCTTTACTTAAAAAAATACTAATATATATATATATATATATATACTTTTTTATATATAGATATAAACTTACAGAGATGGCGGAAGACCAGGGAATAAATTATACTACATGTAATAATAATAATAACATAGTGTTGTAAGTTTGATTATATACCGATAAATATTACGGCTCTTAGAAGCCGAGAAAGAATAGGATACTTACAATGTTGCTTCCGATACAAAATATATATAACTGATCTCCTCGGGCATCTTCAAGAAACAAGCAGAATCTGTACTTCAAATCGCTCAAGGGGTTTTTACAGCTCTTACATGTCTTCAAAAATCTCGCAGAGCTATATATATATAATGACGATCCATTTTATTTTAATTAAGAATAGAAGAAAGTTGGTTGATTCTGAGAAAACACTTACTATTTTTCGCATTTTAAGCACCATCTTAAAAACCACTCTGCTGGATCAAGGGCTCTGAAATCTGTAACACAACCTCTGATATTGTACAGCTTCCCAGCCTATTCGGTATGTACTTATTGATAAGTGCCTAAGCATAAAATCTCATAGACCTAAAGTAATTGACTCACAACACCGTCTGTCTGCATCTGGAGAAACGTTGTTAATGGCAATATTATCGGGCTAGTTATAACTAATACACGTGTTTATTAGTATGTAAGTCATCTATCTCTCTCTTTCTGTGTGTAGGTAACTATTCAAATACCTGATCTAGCCTCTTTAAGTTCAATACTCTCTGTATATAATAGATTACTTGGTTTCTCTCCAGTGTTTTTGGGATCAGCAACGTTTTTGCTGTGTTCATTTGCAGAGTTTGATCGTCTATTATACACATTCAAATATTTAGAGATGGTTTCACTTAGTAGCTATTAATGTCTTACGCTTTTATATCATCTAGTCTTTCGTCGTCAGGAGATAGTTTTATCACTTTTTGAATGTATACGGGACTTAATACATCGCCGTGGATACTGATTTCCAAAACTCCATGCGAATTGATTTTGCGTCTTCCGTTTAATATCATTATATAGTCCCCTCGTTCCAATTTTGGACAGTTTTCAGCATGTTCATCCCACAAGGTACATAGCAGTATAACGTCTGGAGAAACCCCATAGCTTGGTTTAGTGGCACCTCCGGTGTGCGGGTTGACAGTAAAATCTGTCAGAGACAGCGTCATAGACACATTAGCATAGCGGCATCCGAGATACTATTTGAAGTGATTTGGATGTTAGTGAGATATCAATTCCCAGCATATACCTTTCTTCCTCTTCTTTTTTTCTTTAAGGAAAAAAAACAACCTACAACACCAATAAAATTACAATATGCAAAAAGTCCCTCTCCTATCTGTGCAGTGGTTAAGAAGGGTTTGCCACGGAAGTAAGTAAGTTCATTCTTTGATTTTTCTACTGATTTTTCTCTTGAGCCATCTCCTGGAGTCGGTGGTAACGGGCAGCCGGTTTGCTTGTACCATTTTTGCAATACTTTTGCAATAGCCATATTTTTTGGAGACGCAATAAAATCGGTGACTACTTCTGGAATTGGTTTGAGATCATGTATCGAAAGAGTAGTCCAAGATGCTGAGAAATATCTTGCAGACAATACACCTCGGACTTCTCCTTGAAAGTCTGACAGCTAGCATAATCAAGAATTATTATCAGTGTTTATTTTTAATAATAACAATAATGATAAAACTTACTGTCAATCCACGGCATATCAGGATGTCACCAACCTGTCCCATAGGAAGACATTCTTTTTGACTATGAAACGATTGAATCTTGCGTCCACCCAACGTTCCTGTAGATGGGTCGACAATAGTGAAGAACCTAGAAGAATCTTGATTATTTTATTAGAATTTATTATATACTGTTTTTGTTACTACGTCTATTTTGATAGGCTTTCTCTTATTTTTATATAGTTTTGGCCCTAGTTGATTTTATTTCTCTACATGCGCTTAAAAATAAAATAAAATAAAAAGCTCATTATTCATACCACGCCTTTGAGTATGAGGTACAATAATGTCCCTGATATTCGAGATCACACCACAAACTTCTTGATTACGCGCCAACACCTGTTCTGCAATGGGGATTACGCCAAGTTCCTTTGTAGTTTCTGAGTGAGAATCTTCTCATGTGAATATAATTATGAATTCTAATGATGCGGGACTTCATTAACCTTGATTTCTGATGTGAATTCAGTATTGATTCCTTCTGACATTTGGACAAAAAAGAAGAAGTAAAGGAGAAATACAATCTCATATTGAACAGTTATCAAAAAAGCTGTCACATTTTCTATCTGTATTCTTTATCTCTTTATCTTATGTTCTTACAAGTATTCTAAGGATGTCTTTCTGTATTGTTTCGAAAGGCAGAATAAAAGGAAATTCGATCGGCTTGGATAATATCTTTCTTTATTTTTGGAAAGATTATTGATATAAAAAGTTTATTGTAAAGACTTTTTGAATATTCTTTCTAGATAATCATCTTTGGCTTTTGGTTTTTGGTTTACTTTCATGCTTTCTTTAAAATTAAGCAACCAAGAAAAACTTAAATGAGACACATACTAAATGCTTGCCTGCTCGATATCGAGGGAGGGAGAGAGAAAAAGGGATAAAATGGTGTTGGATTTTAATAGGAAGAGTATGAGGTACAAAAAAAAAAAAAAAAAAAAAACTTGGTTGAGCAGCTATACACAAGAATGTAATATGTCAAACCTGTACAGGTTAGATACAGGCTATTCAAATGATTTATTACGGTATGGGAGCTGACCAATAACCTAAAAGCTGTATAAGCTGGTTGATCCATAATCATACTGAGTAAAAGCTTTGATCTCTAAAAACAGCACACACACACACATACTTTGTAAAGCGAGCTGCGATATTTACCCAATGTATAGGTATTTATTATCTATAATATTTGAATGTTTTATGCCCAAATATAAAAGGGTGGATATATATTAAGCAGAAACCTTGAACAGCTATCCAATATGATAATTTCTGAAGTGTATTACCGTTTAAACCTTCTTCTTCTTCTGTATAATTTTCGCCAAGTATGTATGAGCTTCAACGCCATATGGATATAAATATTTTCCAACTCTCTTTGCATTCTTTTAATTTTGATATTATTTTTATTATTGATTCAGTTCCTACTTTACTAAATTTTAGTTTAAGTTTCCCCAAATACGCTTAATATGCTTTATATTCAAGTTTTGAGCAGATCATTATTCAATATACTTGAAAGTATAACTCTCTCTTTCTCTCTCTTTCAATAGTTTTTAAGAAATTTGTTGCCGAGACATATACGGTACTTTGATGGGTTGAATAGATGACATAATGTAGATATCAAATGCTTGGCTCCATATATTATGTTATATTTCGAGCGAAATATTAGATTCAAGCTCTATTAATATACTTCTTAAATCTGGTATCGTGGGATATGATTGCAATTGGTAATAAAATTTCAGTGTATATATATATTTGGAGAAATATCCGAAAGTAAGACAGCTTTTACTTCATGAATATGTAAACATCTTAGAAACAGTTTCAAAGTACTTTTATTCTGTCAGTGTTTTTTCTTTCTTTTCAATTTAAAAATACCGCATTAACAACTAAATAATATAGTGAGTAAGAATAGTATGCATACATGATGAAAGTAGTAAAGAACCCCCAACTTAAAAAAAAAAAAAAAAAAAACTCGTAGTGACTTACTTTAAGAAACGAATGGTTGGCTTGAGTACTTCTGAGTATTGATCAAACCAAAGTGATGATGACTTTTCTTCTTCAGAAGGCAGAGATTGTTCAATAATTTGCTATAGTGACAATAAAAAAGCATAGTGGGAAACGAATAATCATATACACTCACAATCAAAAACGTTTCGACCCCCGCAAAAAATGCCTAAAAAAATTCGAAAAAATAAAAATAAAAACATTGTTTTCTCCCAATATTATTAATCAAATCCAACATGCAAGACGCAAATTCATCAGAAAACACCCACGGATCATATGAAAAGGCCGATCCGTATAAATACGGATGCATCATGTACATGCATTTAGCAAATTACGGGGCGACCCAGATTTCATTGGTGGTTGGCATGAGTCTGTCAACTGTCAAGTACATCATTAAGAGAGTGGACGAGACAGGATCGCCCGAGCCAAGAAAAGGGTCCGGACGATCTAGAAAGATTGACGAGAGGACATAAATACACCTTGTTCAAATAGTTCGTAAGGACCCCTTTGCCTCATTTTCTAGGCTAAGGGCTTCCTTAAAGAACATGGAGGTATTTGTCTGCAGAAAGACAATAATCAGTTGTCTGAAGCGTTTGGGCTTCGGATCATATATCGCAGCTCACAAGCCAACTTTAACCGAAAGCCACAAGAAAAGAAGGCTGGAATGGGCCCGTGAGCATGTGAATTGGACAGATGACCAGTGGAGAGGTGTAGTGTGGTCAGATGGATCACGGTTCACAGTTGAGGGTAATGATGGAGGAGCTAGAGCTATCAGGAAAGTTGGTGAAAGGTTCAAGGAAGAAAATATCATCGAAGGAACCAAGTGGGGGAAGGGTAGTGTGATGATCTGGAGCTGTTTCTGGGCCGGTGGTTTTGGCCCTTTGGTGTTCCTAGATGGTAACGTAAACCAAGACCAATACGTGAACACTTTGGCTCAGAACTTCCTCCCTTGGTTCCAAAATCTTTCGCGGGAACAAAACAGGAGCTTTGTGTTCCAAGAGGACAACGCCAGCTGTCATACTGGGTCGTACTCGAGGTGGTGGAAAGATAGCCATGAGATCCGAGGTTTTGACTACTGGCCCGCTCAAAGCCCGGATCTCAACCCCATCGAGCATCTCTGGTGGGCTCTCGAGAGGCGCATGAGTGACGAGAGGGCCAGTATTAACAATGTTGAAGATCTGAAGGTTGTAATGCAACGAGAGTGGCGAAGGATAGGTCTCGAAATTTCGTCAACTTTGGCCGGAAGCATGCAGCATCGATGCCAGGCTGTAATTGAGGCCAAAGGAGGTCATACAAAATATTGATCTTTTATTTTTTTCTATATTTCAATAATAAACATATATATAATCTTTTATTTGAAGTTTGAATGCTTTAGCTTTTATTACTGAGGAGCAGTTGCATGTTGAATACATGCCATGATTTCTCTCATGCATTTTTTGGGCTCAGAGGTCGAAACGTTTTTGATTGTGACTGTATATATAGTATTCTACCAATTGACGCCTCTGTCTTTCTTCCCCTCACTTTCCTTCTTCTTTTTCTTTCTCTTTTATCCCTCGGTGATATAAGCAAAAACAACTTTTTTTTTTCTTTCATCTCACAATGTCTAAATTTGCTGATTTTCGTCTGCATGCCCAAAAGGCTGTATCGGAATGCATTGAAGCAGCAGCACATCACAGACATTCATCAAATACCAATACATTACCACCACAATTTGTTCAATCACTTGTTCAGACTCACATTGCACCAATCGGTGGATCAGAAAATACATTGAATGTGGTATTGGTGGAAGGAAAAGCTGACTGGAGAAAAAGTGCCTTGGAACTTGTTTTCCGTAGATCACTTTTAAATATTATGGCAAGATACACATATACATATACACGTATCTATATATTTATAATAACAAAAACAAACAAACCTTGTAGAATAAATGGCCAGAAGCAGAAAAGGAGCGTTTTTATCAACTATCCGATTGTCTTGATATTGCTCTGACTAGTTCAGAATCTGGTAAGAATATTAATATATTTTTTTAGAAAAAAATCACAGTTGGATTAAATGTCTACTGAATATATGCATTTGTTTTTCTTTCGAGATAATAATCATAACAATATTAACAAATAAATGATACCCTTTCTTTAATCATTAAGATTATTTGGATACTGTCATTCCACTCACCTTGATCGAAGAACTTTTGGACGTGCACACTATTGCAGGCTGTGAAGATTTCTTTGACTATGTTGAAAAAAGAAAAGAACATTTGATTGTGGTGCGTAATATTGACCTAGTGACTGTGTACAATTGATGTGTGTATGTATTGAATTACCTGACTATAACAAAACAAAAACAAAACGAAAAAAAAACAATATATATATATATACACTTGTATATGAATGTATGTACGTACATGCATATATATATATATATATTATGTACGCATTTATAGAATATGGTTCCTGGTAGAGGAAAGGGCCTAGTTCTTTTACGTATGTGCAATGAAATGTTGCGAAGACTATCCCAAGAAAAGAACATGGTATTCTGTGGTCGCATTCTTATGTTTCTCGCCAACTCTCTTCCATTGGGAGAACGATCAGGTAAATCAATAATAATAATAATAATAATAGTATTTATTTGCCAAAGAAATATTGTGAATGTGAATAATATGTTTACAAATCGTTGCTTATTTATTTCTGTGCTTTGCTTGATAGGCGTCAATCTTAGAGGAGACTTTAATAATGAGCCTATACACTGTGATAAAGATGAAGATGTCAACGCCGATCCAACTATGACAGGTGCGATGATGACTTGCGATTCTCTACACACCATTGTCCACGTCCCATTGACACCTGTACACTAGATGAGCAAAAGGCATTCTATAAATTGTTCTGGTCCATCCGAAAATACTTTTCTAGTCCACCGACCATCTTCCAAGGCGAAAACTTTATTGAACTACAAAGGGTAATTATTCAATTGTGCTAAAAGAAGAAAGAAAGAAAAACCAATAGCTATATTATGTGTGTTTGTGTCTGTGTTTGCTTTTTGTATTGGATTTTTACTCTTTTCTTTTTCTTTTTTTTGGTGGTGGGTGGATCTAGGGTGCAGAGGCCATTTTGGAAAGATTTCAAACTATTGCTAGCCAAGAAAAGGCCATGTCGGGTGATTCGGATATTGTAGAGACTTCGGGAAGAAAACGAAAGAGAATGGCAGGCAGCTCAATAGATGACCCCGATGATGCAGAAGAAATGTTGAAAGAAATCAACCACGATTATCAATTTCCACGATTATTGAGCAGCCGAAAGCTGTTAGAATTAGAAGTATGGTTTGATACAAAGAAGAAGAAGAAGAAGAGAGAGAATTGTGGGCAAAGTATAAACTATTTGCTTGTTTTTATTAGATGGAGGATGCTAGGTTTCGCCGTAATGTGATTGTCCAGTTCTTGATTTTGTTTCAATATCTTTCTGGATTCACACAAACCGAAAAGGAGAATACACAACAACTGTTGGCTGCACGTGGGGCAACAAAGCAATCGCTTGCCCAGCCCCCTTTTAGTTTGGAAGAAGAGCAAGTAAGTTACAAAACATAAAATCATCTATTATTTTGAAATCATCTTATATATATTTGTGTATTTTTAATAGAATCAATGGGTTATTAACATGCGAGAATCTCTTTTGAATCTTCTCCGGTTGACAAAACCTCATGGTGAGCTCTACACGGATATTGTACTTACAATACTGCGTCACGAACGCAATTGGGTAATAACAATAGCAACAATAATAATTTAAAAGAAGTTGGTTAGAAGATAAACTTGGATATTGTACTGACATTTCATACGTGACTCTAGATCATTTGGAAAGCATCTGGCTGTCCTGCTTTTGAAAAACCTCCAATTAATGCTGAAGAATTGAAACAGATTTGGCAAAACAAGAAGCCTAAAATGACAGTAAGTCTATTACTATTATTACTGTTTTTTTTAAAGAAAAGAATACATATAGAAATTATTAATGTCATTAGCAAATAAAAAAATCATAAAAACCTGTCAATAATCTATTTTTTCTTTACATTTAATTTAGAGACCTTCTCCTCCTTACCGTTTCTTGTATGGTAATGTTGAGATGACCCAAATGTATGGAAAACCTCACGAGACATTGAGCGAAGTGATGCTGTAAGTAGAAAATGAACATTATATATAAAAGTGAAAGCAAAATCTGATATTTATATTTGATGCTGTTACTTTCGTGTTGTGGATTGTTTACAGCTCTAGACGTAAAATGCCTGAACCTATCCTTGTACTTGAAAAGGCACTTTTGGAACTAAATAAGAATGCGGCTACATCTTCAATTGAGGAACGATTTGATCTTGCCAATGGTGCACTATTCCAGGCTACTCGACTTATGTGCCGCTCGCATGCATATCTGATACCAAAGGTATACCAGTCGAAGAAAGAAGTCTACAAAGTGCTCTGGGAATCCAACATGAATATCGATGAAAAGCCAGGAACGGATGCCAAACCAACAGGTCCTGAGAGAGGTACAGGAGAGCCAGTGACTGCGCGCCATGTAGAGGCTGAGATTCAGGTGCTTCAGAATGCAAAAGAGATACTTTCCAAAGAGTTGTTGTAAAAAAAACGGATTTATAGATGTGCATAGTGAGAAAACATAAAGTAATTATACGCACATGCACATGCATATGCACATGCACGCACACAAATAAAAAAATAATAATTAAAGGATATTGGTGAAAGCACAATAGATCGATCAATACATCATAAATAGGTTTGTAACAAAAAAACAAGGGGAAGAAAGAAGTAAGGCTTCGATTAATTAAAGAATGCAATTTATTCAACTAAAACCCCACAAAGCTTCAAAAGCTTGATTTCTTTCTTTAATGAATAACGTTTGAACCCTTGGAACTTGGAGAGAGAGATGTTTATTATACCTTTCATTCCACTTGCCCGTATTATCCAATATACTAAAGCTAATGTAGATTATATGCATAGATTCTATAATGATGTAGAGCTTAAAAGCATGTTCATGAAAAAGGAGGAGCAAGGGATAAAGATAAAATACAAAACAAGAACAACAAGAATGCAATAAATAAATAAGTAAATAGTATGTAAAAATGCACTTAAAACACTACCTATTCTTATTTTACTCTTTAATAATATTCTTTTCTTTCACCAATTCTTCTTCTTTTTTACATGCATTCATCATTTCGTACCTTTATTGTCCTGTTGGCCTTTGCTGGTGTAACTGAAACCTTAAACCATCAGAAACAAATTGATGTAGTCAATCAATGTCAGCATGGTATTCGAGTTGGTTACCAGACAAACGGAAACCGACACTCCCGGACGTTCTCCGTTCGGCCTAATAGCGACAGTCACCGGTTAATAGTTGACTCCGAGTGGGCGGGACGTATTTGGGCAAGACCATCGTGCGGATCTCGCAGGTGTGGCAGTGTCGCTGGTGCCACAAGCCCAGCTTCGTTAGCAGAGTTCAAGATGACAGGCGCCAACGGGGTGGACTACTACGATGTATCATTTGTAGACGGATACAACCTTCCTATCCGTATTGCACCAACCGTAGTTTCTGGACTAGACCACCTGGATTCTAATGATCTGATGCATTGTCAACCAACTGTCTGTAAAAGCCTGCCGGTCTGTCCTGTAGATCTTCGGTATCAGGACAGTAAAGGAAAGTTTGTGGCTTGTAGAAGTGCTTGTTCAAGATACCAGGATGATGCATATTGCTGCACAGGAGAATTTAGCACACCTGAAACATGCAGTACAAACCACTATGCGAACGCGATCAAGAATGCATGTCCAAACTCCTACAGTTACGCCTATGATGACCAGACTAGTGTGTATGTGTGTAAAGCAAGACATTATACTGTCACATTTTGTCCACAAGAAGACTGATACAGCTTACTACTGTTATTGATATTACCATTGCCATTTCCATTTCCATTGTCATTGTCATTTCCCTTATGTTCTACAGAGATTGTTACCTTGACTATTGTATTATTTCCATTACTTGTAGACTTTTGTTTTATTCTTCTGTCTCTCCTTTCATCGATATTATTACATACGCTCTTTTAAAATGGAATTTGCGCTCTTGAAAAAAAAAGTAACGACAAAAGTTCGTCAAACCTTACTACTGAACCAGGGCTTAAATGTTTATTGTTACATGTCCTAAAGGCATGTGTGTGTGTGGGTGGGTGGGTGTGTTTTGAGGTATTAAATTTTCTTTTAAGAATATATGTATATTTTTATATAAGCATAGTTTGTGTGAAATAAAGCTAGTTTTTATGTTTTGCTGCTGATAATATTTCTAGTGCAATTGAGTAAAATATGTGTGATCTATGCAACACAATTGGTCTAATGCTGTTGTAATATATATAATTTATATAATTTATATAAGAGCCATTAATAATTATACATATGCTATTTATTACTGTTCTATGTAGAAGCAAAGCTTGTTACTCTTATATTAAACTTATTAATATATATAGATATATATAAATAATTTTTTTTATTCTAACAAACAAATATATATATACCAGATTGGCTTCTTATATCTTAAAAAGGAAACAACAGGGTAGCATCCGAATGCGTATAACATCAATCTTTATCTATATAAAAGCAACAGGCTCTTTAAGATCTCTTTCTTTTTCTTTTCTTTCTCTTCCTTAACTCTCTCTCTCTCTCTCTCTCTTTTCTTCACTTGCTTTCCACTCTTCTTTTACTCTTCCTTTACAAGCACGGACGTACGCACAAATGGGATTCTTTGATTCGATTACCAGCATGGTAAATTCTGGTTTCCATCAACCACCTTCTTATGAAAAACGAAAGCTCTATCGTTTTGCGGAAGTTCTTGGTAAGACAAGCAATTATTACAAAAAAAGAAAGAAGAGTAGTCGTACTAGAAATTTAGTTATTTTATTTTAATTTTTTTTCATTATATATCTATTCATTATAATATTACTATTGCTACTGAAATTTGAAATATATATACATACATTTATCAATTAATGTTCCAATTATGCAGGCAGTGGTACTTTCGGTACTGTCAGACAAGCTACCCGTATATCAGACAAAAAGGAAGTGGCAATAAAGGTTATCTCCAAAAAGTTTATGAAAGGACATTATGACATGGTTCACTCTGAGATGGAGATCATGCAAGGTCTTGATCATCCTAATGTCATTGGTTTCTATGATTGGTTTGAATCCCGGTAAGCCATGTTTGTTAATTATGATGGTGATGGTGATGGTGATGGTGATTATGATTATGATTATGATTGTAAAAGATATCTCTTTTTCTTCTTCTTTTACTAAACAAAAATTTGTTTATTTGTTTGATAGTGATCACTTTTATCTTGTGTTTGAGTTGTAAGTCTATTATTCTATGATTATTTGCTAGTCGATCAAGCAAATAAGCAAGAGAAAATTGATGAATGGAAAGGGAACTAACGTGTAATGTGTTAGGGCTACTGGTGGTGAATTGTTTGAACGTCTGTTTGAGCGTGGCAAATTTACAGAAAAGGATGCAGTTTTGATTGTAAAGTCGGTTGTGAATGGTTTACAGTATATTCACGCACATAATGTTATTCACAGAGGTATGCTTTGTCTACCATGTTTTAAACGTCGAGGATGAAGTTAGCTAATCGTTCGGCTAGATATGAAGCCTGAAAATTTGCTCTTCAAGAGTCCAGACTCGGATGCCAACCTAGCCATTTGTGACTTTGGGTAAGTGGCATTGTATATATATATGTGTGTGTTGATACACATCTACGCCTATATGCACACGTAAGCAACAAGTAGAGTATTTATCCTTTACACACACACACATATATATATATATATATGGATATTAGTATTGCAACAGAAGCAGTTGCGGATCCATCTGGAGATCAACCTATTTGTGGTTCACCCGGTTATGTTGGTAAGAATAATTTTTTGTGCAATTATTAAAGCAACAAAAAAAAAGGAATTGTAAATATTTACATGGATTTTGATTGATTGATTGATTTATTTGTTTTGGGTACATGCAGCACCAGAGGTTATTCTCGGACATGGCTATTCTTCTGCAGTAGACATGTGGGCGATGGGGTAAATATTATTGTCATTAGTACTATTAATTGGTTATTTCTTAGAAAATTAAACCTTGTTGATTAACTCGATCGATGGGCTGAATTGATCCTAACTGAATCGTTTATCTCTTCTTTTAGTGTGATTACCTATGTATTGTAAGTCCCTTGTTTATATATGTATATGTATATGTATATGTATATATATATATATGTACACAAAGAGATCAGTGAAACTGAGCTCAATTTCCTTGTATAGGTTATGTGGTTACCAACCTTTCCAGGCTGAAGATCAGGTAGAGCTTTTTGATTCCATCAGCCACGCTCGTTTTGAATTCCACGAAAGATACTGGCGAAACATTTCCTTGGATGGTGAGAAACAATTTGCCTTTTTTAAATATAATATAATATAAATGTATAATTGGGAGTACACATAAATTACACAAGATGAAAAGACGGATACTGATATTGATATTAAGCCAAGGATTTCATTCGTGGTCTGCTCACATTGGATTCTAAGAAACGTATGACAGCAACCGAGGCATTGAACCACAAATGGATGACAGGCGTCGATGCTACAGACATTGATATCCTTGAGACCGTCAGAGCCAACTTCAATCCTCGCAGAACTCTCAAGAAGGCTGTTCGGGCAGTCAATATGCTGAACCGTATGAGAACCAGCGTTTCCTCTCTTTCGCCTACCAATTCAGAGACTACAAAGACAGACGTACCAGCCACAAAACCTCATGTCATACAAGAAGAAATCACGAAGCATCAGACTGCACCAGTCTAAAACCCAAAAAAAAAGAACTTTTGTGTAGATGGAATATTCGAGCCAAGAACATTCCACACAAACTTAACCTTATTAACTTGTAATCTCTCTTCTCATCTTTCTCTCTCTCTCTATTATTATTTATATTTATATTCATATTATTATTATTCATAAAGTATCAATATACCCCTCCCTTCTTCCTTATAAATCTAAAATATATCATCAGTATTGCGTACAGCTTGTTGGTATCCTTTTGGCTTGTCAATCTTCATGAGGCTTGGAAAATAAACAAGCAATAAAACTGTTTGCCACTTGAACAAACCTCCTTGTTAATGTGCCACTTTCACATGTCACAAACTATATCTGTGGCTTTTATTCCTATTTGGTTAACTAAAGACGAGGTTGAGGCGGGTCTACATAAATTATATTCATATTCAATATCCAATATTCAATACTCAATAGTCTAAAAAAAAAAGAATATTCCCCACGAGTCAGGTTACTTTTAAAAGACCAAGTACGAAAGGGCAACGTCCGCCCCAACAATCAAGAACCAAGGATATTCGCTGATAAGCATTTTTTATACACACGCACTGTGAGTAAGAAAAATAAAATAAATAGAGGTGTTTTGACTCCTATACACAGTATATATGCTTCTTTGAGAGTTCAAACCACTTCTACTCATTTGGGATACCATAAGATTTGAATACAAAAAGCTCAAAGGCTCAAGTTTTCCTACTATCTAGTATCTAGAGTACTTAAAAATAAAAGTAATAAAGAACAATATGTTATGAGTCAAAAAAAAAGTTCATGTTTCACACCTTTGGAATTCCAAGGATTTTATGGATTTTTAAACAAGATCAAGTAATAAATATATATATATATACTTTGCTCCAAAAAGGGTTTCTTATTGGTTCTTTCTTTGGTTTGCTAATTTTATTCTGTGGCAATACAGCTGGTATAAATCAAAAACATGGATATTTATGATTGGAGTAACAGCTTGAATATTATGCGATTAAAATATAACTATCAATCTTTATATTTCCTCTTAATAATAGGAAAATTATATTGATCATACAAGCGTCAGTTTTAAGTAAATAAAGTAAATTCACTAATTGTTAAATAAGCCTTTAACAAACATATATCATGTACCTTATAGTTCTATGATGGCCCTGGGGGAAGTAGTTGTGCGTCTTCAAAGACAAGAGATGCCTATACACGCACCAAATATTTGCCTGTCCGACGTGTACCCATTGACAATACAAAAAGGTTTGGCACCCTTTTCCTTGGCTTGTGCTACTAATAAATCCTTTTATATACTAAAGAAAGATTTTTAAGACTATTGATATCATAATTTATGCTGATTGTACCTACATGTACATACATATATCTGTTTATAAATTTAAATTAGATATAGCAATACTAAATGATCTCAAATTTTCTTTTGTGTATCAGAGTTTTTATTATGGTTATATGGAGATAAATTCATACATCTTGATAATTAACTTATTTGAAAACAAGATAATAGTAATAGTGTTACAGCTATAGAAATCTAATCAAGGGAGGTATTTAACTATTGCATCCATCAGCCACAGCTTCCGTACTTTGACACTAGGCGGCGGATTTGGTTCGCTGTAGTACTGGGTTGTCTTTTCCCCAGTGACATCCCATACTGTAACATACTCAAAATCTCTCCCTCTAATATTGACTTTAATGTCAATCTTGTCCAGGCCAAAACGCATCTTCATGGCCAATATGTCATATTTAACCCCCTTTCGATCGTCAATTGGGAACTGGGTATTGAAGATAGCTACTAGATCAATTGATTGAGAAGAAGGATATTCTGGAACTGGTTCATCCCCATCATATGCATATAAAGCTATATACATATACATATACATATACATATACATATATTCTGGTTTAGTTAATACATACATATAAATATATATATATATCTTGGCAGAAACTTACACACAATCGGAAGAATATCCTTTTTCCAAGCAATATGTTTAGTAATCCACCCATCTTCACTAACCGGTTCACCTTTGTGAATATATACATGGAACTTGTCTTTTACGGACGGGGTGTTTTTCTCAGGCATGTCATTGGATGAGCACAGCTTTATGCCATATGCACGGCGCAAAATCCGCTGGGTAATTGCACGTGGTCTGGCTCCGAACAATGTTGCTCCTCTCATCACTGCCATATTTCCGTCTTTTATAACCTTGAAATGCTTGACTCGACTACCGAAAGTATCATTTATCCGAGCTTGAAGGTACGGTGACTGCCCAAATCCTCCAGTAATAAACATAACATCCAGGTGTCTACCTCCAATTTGTGCGAACTGCTTCTCTATCATACCAAGTACTTCATCTACTACTGGATCAAATACTTTTTTGTGAATTTCATCCAATGAGTATGTTTCATCATCGCTGATATCTGGATGGCCTTGTATATACATTCTTTTTAGCTTTTTTATACAGTAAGATTTCTCTTCTTGATCGCCAACAAACGTTTCCTATACACATACATAAAGAAATTACATACTATTATTCTCAATTCCATTCTAAATAATATGTGTTTAAAGCCTTGTGCATTTAATGAATCTTACTTTAATCACAAGGCTAAATTCCCACAGTGCATCTTGTATGTCCTTTTCACTGTAGTTGGGGTATTTGGAAACCTTCTCTCTCAATAGAGCCTCAAATCGAGCATCCAAAAAAGTTGATCCACAAGAACTTCCAGTGCCCATTGTGATTTCTTTTAGACCGCTTGTTCCGGACGAATCATCCTTTTCAAATACAGCGAGATCAACAGTTCCACCACCAGCATCACAGATCATATAAAGACTTCCGTGGGTTAGGTTTAATTCAGGAGACTGGTCTTCAGCATACAGGGCAGCCGCAACAGCCTCATCAATAATCAATAGCTTTCCAGGTTCATCGTATTTTGTAATGATACCAGCCAAGATAGCTGCCTCTCTCATGATATTTTTGGATTCTTCGGACCACATAGTCGGGACCGTCATGCAGTATCTGTATCTGGAAGGGTCGCGAAATTTGGGATATTTTTTAGGTATTTTGCTGATATCTTTGTGCATTCTACTCAAATAGTCACCGATGACTATAATACAATATTGTATGCTTTAAGGTTGCTTGTGCTTGTGTTTGTACTTTTGGTTACGACTTTTGTAAGTTGGCTTTATTTAATTGTTATTATTTTGATCCTTACTTTTTACTGGGGTCATATTGGGTGGTAAAGGTGGAAGACCTTCTTTGATGGTTCTGTCCAGCCACAGTTTGACTTTGCTGATATGATACCCAGAATCAGGGTGTTTTCGGAAGTTGTGCTCGGCCGATCTTCCATACGTAAACTTTTTTTCTGATTCTTTCTTGTAAAGCATTGTGGATGGCATATTCTTATATCTCCAAAAATAACTATAGCAATTAACACACAATAAAATGAACTATTAGGATAGCTGTATGTATATATAATATCTGCCTGTTGGTCTTTGCTTAATATCTAAGCTAATCGATAGCCTACCTATCGTAATAGTTTTTATTTTGTTCAGAGTTTAGGTCCAATACATAATATCCAGAGAAGGTTGTTCCAAAATCTAATTAATGAAATTGCATATCAATATTTAACACTAAAGAAAAAAACATATACACACTAGGCCTTTACCTATTCCAATGACAGCATCATAGTCATTCAAAGTCTCTGTCATTTTTAGAGTGTAAAATCGACTTTTGCAGAGACCGAAAGAAAAAAGGAAACGGAAAAGAGAAAAGAGAAAAGAGATGTTACAAAATGAGCTTAAAAATATTATATATATATTATTTTTTTCTCTTTTAATTACCATTTCTTGAAATGGCTTTCTGATATTGTCACACTAAAAAATCAAACCCATCTTTGAGAAACCTTATAAAAGGCCAAGAAGTATATTGATCTGGATACGTCCAAAAATTCTCTAACTCACATTCTATTTTATGTTTTACTATAAAGGTCATACATACACTTTTTACTATATACATATTTTGTATACATGCCCATTGAAGAATAATATAAGTTTTGCATTAGGCAAAGATGAGTACCAATATAGCAAGTGCATTCCACATAAAATGGTTGTACATGTTTGAACCAAACATAAAGATTATCACCTCTCGTCTCACCAACAGTATTACTGTTACCTTTTAGAGTATAAAATATCAATTTATATATCTTGATTCTATTTTCCTTCTTCTTTAACTCTTTCCCTGGTTTTATCTTCATATGATTTTAAATAATCGAGCCTGCCTTTTTCTTTCTTTTTTTACTTCTCTTATATAAAATATATATTTACTTCAGATACTTTTGATAACCATTAAATCCAACTTATTAGCTTATATTATACTATACAATACATAGAATCAACTGCACAAATTGTAACTTTCCCCATCAAACTGTGCTATACAAAATAACCCAGGCCATGTATTTGATTTAATTTGTATTTATGTTAGATTTTAAGATACCATTTAAGACAAGTAAGTAAACAAAAGCCTGTATGTCAATATATATACTTTACTGAAGAATAGTTAATTGGAATTTAACGATTTTAAGAATAAAGATCATGGTGTACAATTAAAGATCCAACCTTCGGTAAGGTAGCTATTTCAATGACCCAAAGGATCTAATTGTTGGTGTCTCAATTGTAATATTTATAATAATAATAATAATAAAGATGTAGCTACTTAATATGACTTTATTTGTGTAAAGTAATGTATTATATAAGGATAGTGTTTATATATAATTGTTTATATATCAACCAGATCTGTGTGTGTGTGTGCGTGTGCGTTTACTAGATAATTCTCAGCTATTATAAATATCCAAGGTTTTTGCATAAGCCCACATATATGTATATATATATGTATATAAATACATCATTGCATTCATTCAATTCGTTTAATCCAAGGCATGATTATAGAAAATTAATTGTATTGTATTGTATCTTATTTTATTTTGGCTACTTAATGTACCAATGTATTGTTCTTTTCCAATATTAGATTACTGAAAATTCTTATTAATGCTGTACAGAATAATCATGTCCTTATACAGGACATGCTTCCCAGAGACCGTTAATAGAGCTGTCGAGAACCTGCTTAAACCGAATCAATTATGAGTTTATTATTAATCACAGTCTTGAAATTATCAAGTAGGTATACATATATGTTTATGATTAAATACATAATCTCTGGGCTTCTTTCTTTCTATTCTTATGAACCCTGCATATTTATTATGTAAAATACCAGGCCTTGACAATTAATCGACAAAGCAGATTCTTTATTGATGCATAATAATATACTCAATAAGCATCTCAATATATTTCTCTGGTCTAACCAAGAGAGCTTCTACAATAGTATATATATATATATATATAATGCGTACAAAGACTTGGGCCCCTTTTGGGAGCTCCATTCCCTCCCACCCCCTACACAACAAAATCCCTTCCGCAGAACCAGATTACAAACCTTAAACTCCGTGACTTGGTATTCGATCCAATATATTGTCATATAACCAAGGAGTAAAGAGCACAAAATATTTGTCAAGTTTACTCGTCGTGCACCTTTCTCAACTTATGTCTCCATCCGATTTACCAGTCGAGATTCTCACCAAGGCTGCTGGCTTTGTTTCAAAATACGATCTTCTTCAATGTACATACGTTTGTCGAGCATGGAAAGAGCCCTTCCAGGATGTTTTTATGCAAGAGCTTGTTTTATCCGGTACAAGAACGATCAATAATGCAGTAAATCCATCTGCAAATATATACAGCCAATACCAAAGATATGGCCATCTTGTCCGAAGATTAACTCTGAAACCAAAAAGATTAACAGCAAACGAGAAATTTCTGATACTTCAACAACACTTTCCGCACATCAGATCTCTCTGTATCTCTGAACTCGGATTAGATAATAGTCTACAAGCAGATTCATTTGATTGGAGCTCATGGGGAAAGATAACAGAGCTGGATATAACCATCCGTCTTTATGGAAATACAAACCCACAAAATGAGTCTCTCGACACACTAAGATCCTTTCGTAATCTTCGAAGACTGTCGTTTCTTTCATGCATCGAGATAAACTCATACGGAATAGATATATTTGACTATGGCAAGGTTGGATTTGCATTTCATAACATCGAGACTCTTCACACATATCTTCCTCAGCTTGAATATCTGAAGCTAGAGACGGGATTTGGAGTCTTTTCAAAAGAAGACTTGATGGATATCCAAAACATATTACCAGCAAAGAAAATGAGCACACTGATAATTACAAGTGGAAACCTTATCGTTCCATGGTTGTGTTACTTTGCTCAAAAGTATCCCAATCTCAAGATGCTTGAGCTACAGAGTGGAAAGGCACCGCGTACCTTGTTCGAGCCCAATGACCCGTACACAGAAATAGCAATATCAAGATTCCTAAACACCTCCTCTGCATTCAACCATTTGCACAAAATCATGATTAAGGAGTATGATGTCCAAGAAAGAATATTTCCTGTATTTTGGAAGATTCTCAGTCCGTCAAACACAACCATCAACTCAGTATCCTACATCACAAGATATACAAAGAACAATTGGGAGCACTTTAAGAAGATTATAAAGATACCTTCTGGCGTACGCTCCACAACCCTCAAGGCACTTTTTATTCAGGCAAGGACCAACGATGCCATCGCAGCACCGATTACAGGAGTAGTTGAACTGTGCCCTAACTTGGTATATTTGAACCTTGAATGCGAGCGAGAAAAGGTGGAGCTGGATGTTATCTTGGATCAGTGTTCCAGAATAAGAAAACTACGGATCCATGGCGGGCAATTGGTTACCAGTAAATATGCAACTCTGGATTCACCAGTACATGGCCTCGAGCGCATAGATATGCTGGCACTAAAGGTGGACTGTACCGTCTTTTCGTACATTTCTTCCCGGTGCAGAAGTCTGTCACACATGAACCTTCAGTATATGCGCATATATGGATTCTCACAGGAAACACGAGAGCTCTGTATTTCTATGCCACATACTAAGCTCTCGGAACTTTTGCTTTACGCTGTAAGCCTTCACTTGTCAGACGAGCACCCAAGATCAGACACAGACATCAAATTTATCCTGACTCCAAAAGTGGATAATTCAGATAGGTCAGATACTACAACAGTGGATCGCATTTCTTCATACACCTGGAGATACATGTTCTGGGTCAGCTGTGCCTACACATACCGAAAGACCGATATGCGTGAGATGGACAATGAAGAAGTTGAACATGCCACACAATACTTTAACCAATTCAAGCCTAGAAACAGTATTGTGAACGGACTGGAGAAACACATGGCTATTGAAGGATGCTCGGATATCTATGAATGGGAAAAGGATCTACCGAATGGATATGCAATATTTGAGTGTGCGTATGTAGGGACAGTATGTTATAAACCTGCAACAATAGAGCGAAAAAGTGTGATTTTATAACATGAATTTAAGAAGTATCAGTAAACTCCTTTGATGTGCGCAAACACTTGATAATAGCTAAACAATTACTTTACATACACACCTCCACAAATATATAAAGAAAATGTATAGAAAGTGTTGTGGATATCAATATTCAAATGTATTAAACCGAATTAAATAATTAATTAATTAATTAATTAATTAATCAGTCAATCAATCAAGCAATTAATTAATAAACAGGAGTTACTATAGTTATAACTATTATTTCTTCATAGTGTTGAACTCTGGTAATATTCTGAAACTGATGAATATATTCTAAGCTAGTCTCCTCCACCCCTTAAGAAGTTAAGCTAGTAAGTTATAGAGTCATAATACTAAGAAAGTATGCCAATTTAAATAACACTTGTTTTTTAAAGACGTCAACCTATGCATAATTCTAAAAATTATATCAGTTAGGCCTTTTACTGTATTCATTATATATGTATTATGATTAAGGATTTGAATATGTTTTATATGCTTCGGTAGATTAGTATATGTAATTCGACTAGCAGAAAATGGATCCCTCCTCCCTTCCTTCCCTCCCTCTTTGGGTTCTTGGTTTCTTAAAGTAGCCCAATAATTCATAATACCATTTGACTCGACTGTCTTTGGCCTGGTATAATAGTCAAATAGTTCAATATTCTAGTAAAGCTTGAGGATATGTGCAATAAAATGATCGCAATTTTGGGAGTGGGTATTCACTCTTTCTCTCTATACAATCAAAGGCAAACCCGATTCTACTTTTGAGTCCACTATATATATAATAAAGCAAGGGATATATTCAACGTACAACTGCTTACTGGTAATAATATCTAAAGCCTTCAAGCTTCAAATAGACGCTGGTAGGTATGCTTATTATTTAAATAAAGATATAAAAAAAAGGTCAATATCTGGCATGATCACTCTTGACATCAATTACAGAGCCTCGTATCGATGTTGCATATTTCCTGCCAAAACTGATGCAAGTTCAACGTCTATCATTTGCTTTTATCGTTGCATGACAGCCTTTAAATTACCGATCTCGTTGATCTTTTCTCTTTAATCACCTATACGTCCCTAAAGTTCCCACCACAAGTGCTCATGTCTGTCTTTCTGCTACCTCAAATAAGAGCTGGTATAACAGCTGACATTCTCTACTTAGAACATGAAATGTTTGATTTATTTCCATAAAATATCTTGAGTCAAAGGAGGAAAGTTTTGATACAACATTTTCACCTATTGATATTCGTTTACGCTGCCATCTAGAGGCATAAAAGATCTAAAGCTACTGGCCTAGAAACAAATTCAATTCATCACACTGCGCTTCCCATCCACTTACTTGCCTTAATTATATTCCTTTTGTTAGGCCTTGCGCAAGCTCTTTTAATAGCTTTGACTATTACATCATTACCTTCCACTGTGAACCTTGATTCATCCGATCATACTACATCTTTCCACTGGTCAAAGGTCCAATTGACAAGCTCAGGAGCCCATTCAAAACGTATTTTCTTGTAGCTTTCTGTTAAGGCTGGCTTATGGGATGTGATATATGATCCAAAGCCCAAACATTTGAGACAGACAATTGCTGCTGCTGCTGCTGCTGTTGTTGTTGTTGTTGCTGTTTTTTTACAGACAAGTATTTTCCTTTTCTTTAAAGAGCCTCTCACTTTAGAATATGAGGCAAGTATGTCCTTCCAAATTACTTGAAAAAAATATATTTCTGTCCTCTCATGAATCTTTTTAGGTCTTTTGAACCCCTTTTCCATGCTCTGTAAATCTCATTTAATTCACTCTCTTAATGATGTACTGGACATTGGACAGGCTCATGTCAACAGCCGATGAAATCTGAATTACTTTGACATCTGCTTAATGCATGTACACAATGCATTCGTATTAGTAGGAATCATATTTCTCAAAAGAAACGTGTGTGTTTTCTGATGATGTGTCTTGCATGTTGGATTAGATTATTAAAATGAGCAAGAAAACAATGCTCATGTTTTTATTTTTTGCGGGTGTCAAAACGATTTAGATTGTGAGTCTTTAATCTTTTGACAGAGTAATTCAAAACTAGAGTTGACTTTAATAGATAGATTTCAAAAACGCGTATAATAATATTATATACTATTTCACTTCATTTGTTTAAATAAAGTATATGTAACTTTGATTTTATTAAGGTCTTTTATATATTGATAAAAAAAATTAAAAAAAAAACAATTAAAGTCGGTGAACACTCAAGCCTAGAGCTTTGCTGAGCGGGTTCAAGGTGGTACCTTGGCTTTACTTTATCTAAATATTCAAAAAAAAGTTAAGATTAGTATATTGTCAATGAATGTTTTTATTTATTTATTACATACCTGCTATAAATAAAAATATTGCTTATCTTGAGGTATGGTCAGCTCAAGATTCTCTCGCAAAAACGAGAGAGACCCGGTTGGAGATTATTATCACCTTAATAAGCCGCTAGGCAGATAGAGCCACTGGCTAGCACACAAAAGTGTAAGGTGTGTTCGCCACTACGTCCCACCAAGCGTTTAAGTCAGAAAACCCTCAGAGTTTCCCACGTTTTGTATAAGAGAAAAAAAGCAGCATCCGCCATCGACATTACAATCAGATTATGCAACAGGACCTCTTCCCAACCGAGGTTGAGAAATTAAGGCCGCTTACAAATGCCACGTCATGCGCAGAAGACTTGAGATGACTACAATCTAACATCGAACACGCATGGCAGAAAACCCTCAGATCCCTACGAAATACGCGAGGCATAGACTGACAAGCTCTATACCGCATCGATAATTAAGCATAATTACCAGGACCACAGCTTATTATTGACTTGCATCTTTGTACAAGATAGAATGATAATATCTGATTTTACTGTATCAATTAAAATGGAGAAGATACAAACCGCGAGTAAAGAAGAAAATTAAAAAATCCCATTCACTCCCCCGTTTTAAAAGAAATTTTTTTTTTTCTTCAAAGCCATCTGGGCGTAAAAGTAAAAGTCACGGCGCATAAAATAAACATCGGGTTCTGAACAAAAAATGCGCCCATATTCTTTTATCAGCATGTGATATATATAAGCCTCCCAAAGGATTTGTTTATTTATGAGTGAGAACTATTAAGCAGTCTATATGTAAAGACTAATATTTACTTAGCATACAACTTCTTCTTGCTAGAAATATACTTCAAAAAATGTATATATACTTATTAAATCATGTAACTTGTAATTTCAATATGGAATCCAAATAATTGGTTTATTTAACAACTCCATTTAAAACATCTCTACTACCCGAATATTTATGAAAATAAAATAAAAAAGGAATAAAAAGTTAAAATGTACTTTCAATTGCATTATTACAGGTAAACTAATCACTATACAATGACTATAATTTCTATTATGTTTGACTCAATTATATAAAGTATTACTTATAAGGGTTGTTTTGTAAAATAGTACTTCTTCACTGGTATTTGGGAGGCTTATATATATCACATGCTGATAAAAGAATATGGGCGCATTTTTTGTTCAGAACCCGATGTTTATTTTATGCGCCGTGACTTTTACTTTTACGCCCAGATGGCTTTGAAGAAAAAAAAAATTTCTTTTAAAACGGGGGAGTGAATGGGATTTTTTAATTTTCTTCTTTACTCGCGGTTTGTATCTTCTCCATTTTAATTGATACAGTAAAATCAGATATTATCATTCTATCTTGTACAAAGATGCAAGTCAATAATAAGCTGTGGTCCTGGTAATTATGCTTAATTATCGATGCGGTATAGAGCTTGTCAGTCTATGCCTCGCGTATTTCGTAGGGATCTGAGGGTTTTCTGCCATGCGTGTTCGATGTTAGATTGTAGTCATCTCAAGTCTTCTGCGCATGACGTGGCATTTGTAAGCGGCCTTAATTTCTCAACCTCGGTTGGGAAGAGGTCCTGTTGCATAATCTGATTGTAATGTCGATGGCGGATGCTGCTTTTTTTCTCTTATACAA